GAGGCCAGTGGTCAGTGAGCACAGCCAGTCCTTGCAGCTGATCAGCCTGAGTAAAACCCTCCCATTGACATGCCAACAGCAATCAAGACTCAATTACAACAGAAGGGTGGACAGTCCACACTAGGGGTGCACCTCGAGGGCCTAACCTGGGTGATTAGGGAGGCTGTACCACTGGATCTTAAAGGAAACCTACAACAATAGGCCACCTTACAAAGCCTTGGAGACATAGCAACTCTATCTAATACATAGAAACAAACACAGAAAAGCAGCCAAAATGAAGTGGCAAAGAAACATGTCCCAAATGAAAGAAAAAAAGAAAACTCCAGGAAAAGAACTAAACAAAATGGAGCTAAGCAATCGATCAGGTACAGAGTTCAAAACACTGGTTATAAGGATGCTCAAGGAACTTAGTGAGAACTTCAACGAACTTAAGGAGAACTCTGAGCAACTTAGAGATACAGCAAAAAATTGAAAACCTATTTGAAGAAATAATGACATAAAACTTCCCTAACTTGGTGAAGGAAACAGACATACAAGTTCAAGAAGCACAGAGCGTCCCAAACAAGATGAACCCAAAGAGATTCACACCAAGACACATCATCATCAAAATGCCAAAGATTAAAGACAAAGAGAGAATTTTAAAAGCATCAAGAGAGCCCTGGCCAGTTTGGTTCAGCAGTTAGAGTATCAGCCCATGGACCAGAGAGTCCTGGGTTCGGTTCCTACTAAGGGCACATACCTGGGTTGTAGTTTGTCCCCAGCCCCGGTTGGGGTTGTGTGGGTGGCAACCACTCGATGTGACTCTCTCACATCAATGTTTTTCTCTCTCTCCCTTCTGCTCTATCTGCAGATAAATGCAAAAATGTCCTCAGGTGAGGATTTTTTTAAAAAGCTGCAAGAGAAAAGCAGTTTGTTACCTACAAAAGAGATCCATAAGACTGTCAGCTGATTTCTCAAAAGAAACTTTGCAGGCCAGGAAGGAGTAGCAAGAGATATTCAACGTGATGAAAAGCAACGACCTACAACCAAGATTACTCTATCCTGCAAAACTATCATTTAGAATTGATGGACACATAAAGAGTTTCCCAGACAAGAAAAAGCTAAAGGAGTTCATCACCACCAAAACCAGTATTATATGAAATGTTGGAGGGTCTTCCTGAAGGAGAAGAAGAACAAAAATATGAACAATAAACTGGCAATTAATACATCTCTATCAACAATTGAATCTACAAACAAAATGAGCAACCAGAACAGAAACAGACTCATAGAGAGAGAGAACTTTTTGTTGCTTGCTAAATGGGGGGTTGGGTGAAAAAGATGAAGGGATTAAGAAGTTCAAATTGGTTGTTAGACTGACAAACTTCAAAGGGAAGTGGGGAGGTGGGGTGGGAAGAGAGAAACCAATGAACTTACATGCATGTGTGCATAACCAATGGACACAGACAATAGCGTGGGGAAGGCAGGAGAGGGGTGGGACTGGGGAGGAGGGGGTCAATGGGGAAAAAGAGAGGGGCCATCTGTAATACAGTCAACAATAAAGATAAGTTAAAAAATAAGTAAGCAAACAACAAAAACAATCGCAAACTTTGGTAAGTGGATAAATGCTATGAATAAAGTGAACTTCTGCTTAAGATAAGGTCAAAAGGACCTCTCCGAGGGGGCCACACTTCACCTGGAAAGTGAAGAAGGAAAGGGAGTCACCCAAAGGGGCAGGTCAGGAGAGGGAAGAGCAGGTGCCTATGCCCTGTGTCAAAGGGTCTGCACTCATTGGAGGAGCAGGAGGAAAACCAGTAAATCTGGAGCCGAAGAATAAAGGGAAGTGTCTTGAGAAATGAGGTAGGACAGACAAGCATTATCCCGGCCTCATAGGGAGGCTGGATTTTATTGTAAGTCACTGGGAAGCCACTGTGGTTTTATCTGGTTTTGCTTTTAAAGAATATCACTTTGGCCCTGGCCAGTTTGCCTCAACAGTTAGAACAAGCATAGGCCTGTGGACCAATGGGTTGTGGGTTCAGTTTCTAGTCAAGAGCATGTACCTGGGTTGCAGGTTCCATCCCCGGCCCTGGTTGGGGTCACTGGGAGACAACCAATCAATATGTCTCTTTCACATCAATGTTTCTCTCTCTCTCTAACTCCCTCCCGCTCTAAAAATCAATAGAAAAACATCCTTGGGTCAAATTAACAACAACAACAGAATCGTTTTGCTGCTAAGTGAGAAAGAAATCAGGTTTTCAGGCACAGCTGATGGAATGTATTAGGGTGGGAGGGGCAATTAAGGCTGGTATTTTCTTTACATAACATAAAGCATACAGGCAAGCAGCCAGTAGAGGTGTATGTAAATGCACATAAAATATATGAATCCTTGCATCCAATATTTACTTACAAACAAATCAGAACTGTTTTTAAGACATCAGTATGGTGATTACCAGAGGGAAATGGGATGGGGGGAGGTAGAAGAGGGTATAGGGAGGGATAAATGGTGATGGAAGGAGGCTTGGCTTGGGGTGGTGAACACACAATATTATATACAGATGATATATTACAAAATTGTGCACCTGAAACTTATATTATTATATTAACCAATGTCATCCCAATAAATGCAATAATAAAAGTAGGAAAAAAACCACACACACACAACAAAACAAAACATCTCTTTTTAGAAAAAAAACTGTCCAGGTTTTGCTCACTTTGTTTTTTTAAAGCTGACCTCATGCATTCTGCCTATGTTTCCTGGGATTTCTGAATCCTTGCCCTCACGGGGTTTACTGAGTGAGGAAGGGAATATGTTCCCTGTTGCTTGTGAACTTCATTCTTTAACTTTTTTTTTTTTTTTTTTTTATCCTCACCCGAGGACATTTTTCCATTTTTTGTTCAGATAGAGCGGGAGGGAGAGAGAGGAAGAGAGAGAGAGAGAAACATCGATGTGAAGGGACACATCGAGTGGCTGCCACCCGCACGACCAACCAGGGCCGGGGACAAACTGCAACCGAGGTACGTGCCCTTAGCGGGAACCGAACCCGGGTCTCTCTGTACCGCAGGCCGACGCTCCAACCGCTGAGCCAAACCGGCCAGGGCCATTCTTTAACTTTTTGACCATGTCTCTAACTACAAGGAGCCGCTAGGATGCTCGTTATGGTTTCCTTGGATGTGACATGTTAAAATACCTTTAGCCACACATTAAATTTACAAATCTCTCTTTGTGAGAAGAAGCTGTTGCCAGAAGACTGGACCTGCACCAACTCTACCTTCATCTGCTCTCGCAGGACTCTTCCACGTCTTAGAGCACACTATGGTTTTGAATCGAGGATTAGATCTGGAACTGAACTGTTTTTTGTCCAGAGAAGCAGAACTAAAATGTCACAGCTGTGAAGATTTTTTTTTTTTTTTTAGACAAGAGACTTGTGTTGTCATGAGCACCACCACATGGCCTGTGTCACTGCTACAAGCCCTCCAAGATGTCCCTCGATGGCAAGCCTACCCAAAGACCCAACTGGCTATCCCCATGGAGTGCACCCAGTCTGAAGCATACCTTTTGATAAATGAAGTCGATGACTCAGAGAATCCATTTGTTCAACTTCTCCAAAATTTAACTGAAGGGTAAAAGTCACGGCTGCAGTTGAAGTCCCAAGAATGGCACTAAAATGTATGTGTGATGTCGTCACTATATTATCATAAGTAGGTACAATGATATAGGGGGGTAAAAGTGAGCCCCAAACTTGGGAATCTCTCTCTTCCTACTAAAGTGGGCTGGCCCCTCACACAGCCCAAGCAACACATTCCTGTCTGGTCCTGGGAGGTAACCCTCCTTCACCCGGAAACAGGAGGAGACGAAGTATCATATTCCCAGTTTCATGATGTAACACTTCTCATTTCATACATGTATTAAAGATTTTTACCTTGATACCTTGTCTCATTTTTTTTTTTTTTTCCAACTCTTAAAAATGTAGGTTTAGAAGCTAGAAAATGTGGCCTCTGTCCTGGAGAAGATGAGACTCTAAGAACAACACATCCCCTTCTCTGGTTACAAACGTACATTGTGTCCTGTGGGAAGGAGGAGGGGCACGCTGGGTGGCCCGAGGGAAGGAGAGTTGACTCAAAAGCAATACCTCAAAGAATGTCTCCTAGAGCCTCAGCCCTCAGCCCTGCCCATTCCCTGTGTGCTTCACTTCCATTTTGACAAACAAAATGAAAACAAATTTTAATTAATGAGGATTTTTCGTTATTTTAGGAATTTTAATTTCTTTTGGGGGGGGTCAAAGAATTTTGTCTGGAAATCATTTCTGTAAGTAATAAACTACAGATTAGATTTCATGAAGCAATGAAAACGTATGTCATTAGCATTGAAGAATAGCATGTCATATGCATAGGAACAGTATTTAAGGGTCTGAAGTATTGCTTTATTAAGAAAAATACACATCAAGGTTGCAGGTTTGATCCCCAGTCAGGGCCCATACAAAAGTCAATCAATGAATGCATGAATAATTGGAGCAACAAATCGATGTTTGTCTCTCTCTCTCCCCCTCTCTCTTCCTCTCTCTCTAAAGTCAATCAATCAGAAAGGGACACAGGAATCTTGCATGATGGGTAAAGAAGACAGCATTGCCAATTAACAAGTTAAAAACTGGCATCAAAGGGGGAAGTGATTTGCCCGAGGTCAGGCAGAGCTAGAGCTGGGAGTAAAATTCTAACCAGTTTCCTTCCCCACTATTCTTTCTGCTGCAATCTGTACTCGAAGTCATCCGCCGTGAGAGTCAAAGCTGAAGTGACCGAGAGACCCATAGAAACGGAGAAACATAATTCGATAGACATTTTCCTAAGGAAAGGTAGGCCCAGAAATGGAGATTATTTACATTGTAAGATCTACATACCATTATAAGAAGGAGTAAAAAAGGCACCAAATGCACAAACGTCATACTTTATTTTATTGATTGATTTTCAGAGTGAGAGGAAGGGAGAGGGAGACAAACATCAATGTGAGAGTGAAACATCAATCATCTGCCTCCTGCACGCCCCCTACCAGGGACTGTGCCTCTGACTGGGAATTGAACCATGAACATTTCGGTGCACAGGACTATGACCAACCAACTGACCTGTACTTGCCAGGGCATAAAAATCACACTTTAAAGTCATACGTTAAAGAAAAAAAATGTCTGTGCCGGGTGATGAGTTAAAAGACAACAATGAGAAACAGGGGAAGTCTGAAACAATGACAGTGAATTTAGACTTCAATTGCCACACATCATTCTTCTGCAATTACTGACCTGAGAAAAATATTCTGAGCTATAAAGAGGGCACTTGCCTAGAGATTTTATATTTAGTAGCAAAAGGATTCAAGAGAGATTTTATATTTAGTAGCAAAAAGGATTCAACAGAGAGCTACAGTCTTCCAGTCAGGTGAATAATCAGGTTTGAAAGTGAGGCTTGTGCTGCCTGTACAGTGGGGTAACGACGGGCAGCTTTGCCCGGGGAGTAGAAAGACCCTCAGTATGAAGCTCACTGCTGAGACGGAAGACTAACCAGCTCTTTCAGCAATAGCATCAGCAACCTCGTTCCAGCTCCTCTCTGCCAATGGGAGTGAGTCAAGTGTTCTCAGCCTCAGTTTCCTCAGTTGCAAAATGATGTGAATAATGAGGTGACCCCATTTGTGCCAACCAAACATTTTCCATGCATTCTCTCAATCACTCTGCACATAACCCCGTTCTATTGATACAGTGGTCCCTCTGCACCTGCGGGGAGTTGGTTCTGGGACACCCCCCCACTAAAAGATACCCAAATCTAAGGATGCTGAAGTTTCTGACATAAAACTGCGTAGCTTTTGTACTTAACCCATATTTGCATATAGGCTACAGCAGGGTATGCCTCCCCGTCGCTTCAGTTGCAAGCATTGAACTTTGTGCTCAGCGCGTGGCAAATTCAAGTTTTGCTTTTTTGGAACTTTCTGGGGTTATTATTTTTTTCCAAATATTTTTAATCCACAGGAGGTTGATTCTGTGGACACAAAACTCCACGGTCCACAGGGCTAACTGTGCTCCCTTATTCCCATTTGACTAAAGCAAGGTCTAGAGAAGTTGCTAACTTGTTGCTCAGAGGCACCACGGGTCTCTTAACCTGCTTTACTGGAAACTAATTTTTTACCTTGGTCAAGTCATAAACTGGCATTCCGGTTTTACATGTGAGTCTCTCGTGAACTTTGTGAATTAGTCCCTACAAGTCCCGCTCTCAGAGTGATGTCAACTGTTTGACACTTCAAAGCTGAAGACTGGATCATCAACAGTGAAGCTTTTGTGCCAATTGGCCAGCGAGCCGGTCACTGGAGACCACCCTCTAGGTCTAGTTCCAGTAGAAATACCGGCAACTCCCATCGTGTTGCCATCACCTGTTAGGAACTGTAACGGGAGAAGAAAAAGCAGTTGGATTCAAGCTGAGGGCTCATTCCCAGGCTGGCTGTGTTAGAACTACCACATTTATCACACAAAAATTGCAAGAGTGAAGAAAGCCAGGACCTTGACCTTATTATACTCTTAACTAAATATCTTTGAGACCACAAAAGAGGTAGTAGGAAGAACAGAAACTGAAAGATGTATTTACCAGAAAGGGAAATTTGAACTCGGCCTTGGGACAGACCTGGACTATACCCTTCTGGATTCTATGTAAAACTAGCTAAGACAGCTTTGCAGGGGAAGCTGGGAGGGGGGTTAAGGGTGTCTCGGAGGGGGCGTTGTGTTGCTTGGGGAAATGGATCTTGGCTGAGGAAAGCTGGAACACTGATTTGACAATAAGGCATGCTCAGATGATCCGCAGGCTGAGACCCCCGTTCCCATTTGCTTGCAATAGATAGGGATTTCGAGACCAAACCAACTGTGAGAGCAGACAGAAAGGAAGGTTCTGTTTGTACAGGTTTGGGGTTAGATAGGGGGCGGTGTGGAGAGGACAAGTGTGACCGACCTGAAATGAAGGGTGTGTGTGTGTGTGTGTGTGTGTGTAAAAAAGCTGGAAGTCCTATAGTTCGGGGCAGTGGAGGTGGGGTGGTATATAAACAGAAACCAAAATCAGTCTTTCACTAGAGAAACACTTTGAACTTATAAGATATTTCAATAAAAATACATTTCCTGCCTGCTCCCTAGGCAAATATTTAAAACAAACAGAGAGAAGAAAGCGCCCTTGCATAGCTAACACTCCACCCGGTCGCTCTCAGACAGACGGCCCGGAATAGGCCCAACTGGTTGAAGGCCTCTGACTGCTGCTCCCTGCGTATCATTTGACACCATCTCCTCCTGGTTGGGGGCTTGGACTGTCTGATGAAAAAGAGAGATTCAAGTGTGAGAAATGATTTATTTGAGAAACCAACCCTCAGGGCGAAGGTAAGTTCTGAGACCCAGGGCCAGGGAACCCATTTCGGAAGGAGGCAGGTGTGCCGCTCAGGTGCTGACCCAGAGCAGCTGCTGGGCCTCCTGCAGGGTAACCTGTTAAATATTAATGAAGCCACAAGCGGCAAAAAACCCCCAGGGGGGCCTAATTGCTTCTAGGACTGCTTAATTCCTGTCAGTAAGCCACTTCGTTAATTTTGCCAAGCAACACGTTAATTTTGCCAAGCAACACTTAGGACCGTGTTAGACTTTTCATGGCTCATTTCCAAAATGTTAACATTAAGGCAACAACATTGTTTGCAAACCACAGTCTGGCAAATAAAACATTAAAAGAAACACCAGAAACTTTGAATTACACTCACTTTCCTGAATTGTTCCACTGAATGCTTTCAAGAGTAAAACCCTTTGATCTAAACCGCAATAGACACGACTCTGTGTTAGATTAAATAATAACTCTCCAAAGATGTCGACCACCAAACCCCAGAACCCGGGGATGATGTCTTAAATGGCAGTAGAGATTTTGGCAGATATAATCAAGTCCAGGGTCTGCATCAGGGAGATTGTCCTGGATTACCCAGGTGGGGCCAATGTCATCGCAAGGGTCCCCCAAGAAGAACACAGGAAGGTCAGGGACAGGAGAAGGCAAGCAGATGATGGAAACAGGGATTGGACTGAAGCAGCCTCTAGGAGCTGGAAGAACCAAAGAACAGATTTCTCCCGTGCGGTCTCCCAAGGGAGCCTGGCCTGCGACAGCTCAATTCAACTCTGTAGGACTCACTTCAGACTTCTAACCTCCAGAACTGTAAGACAAGAAATTGGTGTTGTTTTAAGCCACTGACAGTATGACAATTTGTTACACAGCAACAAGAAAACTTAAACTAGCCTGGCTGGTGTGGCTCTGGTTCAGCGTTGACCCATGTACCAAGAGGTCGCCGGTTCGATTCCCGGTCAGGGCACATGCCCAAGTTGTGGGCCCGATCCCCAGTGGGGGGCATGCAGGAGGCAGCCAGTCAATGTTCTCTCTCATCAATGTTTCTGTCTCTCTCTCCCTCTCCTTTCCCCTCTCTCTAGAGTCAATAAAGAAAAAATATTTTAAAAAAGAAAACCTAAACTAGACCCACTTGTAAATGTATGAGAAGTTTGTACACAGCCCATAAAACACCCTCCATGTCTGCCTCACCCTCAGCCTCTTTTTGAGAACACAGTGCTCAGGCAATTCCTCAGGCGTTCGCTGTCCCTCCGTTGGCTGGGATACATCTGAGTGGACCACCTCCAGTTACCGTGTAACTGGGGCCTAAGGATACAAGAAAGGCTGGTGCCAGAAGTCTGCCTGGAGACATGCCCCAGGACAGAGAGCAACCAACCAAAGGCGTCGGATTCTCTCCCAGGGCATTTTGAGTACAAGACACCAAGAAGGCAGTAAAAGTACCAGGAAAAGAAATAAAAAAGAGGAGTGAAAAGGTAGATAGGAAAGTTGAGGGATAAAGAGGACAGAGTGAGTAGAAGAGGGAGCAGAGGACACCAAATTCCAGGGACCAGGTAGCCACCCTTCTCCGTGGTCCCCAGTGCTCACAGTGGCCCCACACAGGAAGCTGCAAATAACCATTGGATGGATGAACAGCAATGAACTGCATTCGGTTCTTCAAGAGGCCTGGATAGCTGCTGACATTGGTCCTGACGCTTCCTTATTTCCCACGCAGCTGTGACTGACCCTGCCCTACCTGAGGTGACCTGCGAGATTCTGTCCTTTATAATTGGAAAGAGCTTAAGCCTGATTCTCTCTGCCCTAGTCTCATCCTCTTAGAAGATTACTGAGGGCAAAACAATGACATTTCTTCAAAGAAGCTATACAAATCGCCAACAAGCGCTTGAAAAGATGCTCAAAGTCATTAGGAAAAATGCAAATCAAAACAGGACTACTACTTCCCACACATTAGGTGGCTCAAGAAAGAGTTGGTGAAGATGAGGTGAACTCGGAGCCCTCGGGCACCTGTTGGAATGAGGGCAAACCATGGCAGAAAACAGTTTGGTGAGTCCTCGGGAAATTAAATAGAATTACAGCATGGCAGCAATTGCACTCCCAGGTATACACACAAAAGAATCTAAAAAGATAGGTGTTCAAACAAAAACTTGTACACAAATACTCACAGTGGCACTATTCACATTAGCCAAAAAGTAGAAACAATGAGAATATCCATCAGTCGATGAATGGCTAAACAAATTTTGGTATATACATACAATGGAATATTATTCATCCATAAAAAGGAATGAAGAACTGATACCTGCTGCCACAATGCGGATGAACCCAGAAAAAATATTACGCTAATTGAAAAGCCAGACACAAAAGGCCACATACAATGATTCTATTTGTATAAAATATTCATAGCAGGCAAATCCATAGAGACAGAAAGCAGATGAGTGGTTGCCAGGGTTTGTAGAAAAACGGGAACAGCTCAATTGGTACAGAATATCCTTTGGGAGTGATGAAAATATTCTGGAACTAGACAGTGGAGATGGTTTGTCCAACATTGTAAATGTACCAAGTGCTATGTAATTGTACTTGTTAAAATGGTGGATTTCATGTCATGTGAATTTTACCACAACAAAAATGATTACTGGAGATGTGTTTCATATAGCATGTTTATTTATTCACCACATTTATAGACATTCACTTTTACTTATTGTTATATTGGCAGACACCCCAAATCCTGCTCTTGCTGCAGGTGGTTTTGGGAGTTGGATTATTTCTTAACTATCAAGGGTCCAGTTTAGGATGTGTAACACAGACGTCTCTCCACAATTTCTCAGAATCCGAACCAGGAATTCTTTCACATGGGACTCCTGTCAACATACAGCTCATTTGGTAAAAAAGAAGTCGAACATTATTCATTAACATTTGCCCAGATTATCCTAATTCATGACTAGCCTCTGAGTGAGGTTTGTGCAGACCCTTTATTTCACAATTTTAATATGAGATCAAGATAGCTTTAAACAATGTTTTAATTGATCCTGTAGGGGAGGAAAAGTAATTCTTCCTCTATCCTTCCAGGTTCTTGGCTGAGATCCCCAGTAATAAAAGATAGAGTAATAGGAATAAAAACAAAAGTTTGTATGGGAGATACCCATAAAAACAGTAATGGCCTAAACCACCACCTTAAACACCATCCTCAGCTAAAGACAAGAGAAGATGGGGGGAGGGGGGCAGTTACGGGAGGTTATCAGGAAAAGCACAGTCCACAAGGGTAAAGCTGTTATGCATATGCAAGTTCTTGCCTTCTCCACAGATAAGAGTTTCTAAACATGTAGAGTCATCCTTCTCTTCCTGGTGCAGAGGGAGACACTGCAAATGGAGATGTCTGATGTAACAGTAAATGTATCTCACAAAAGGGTAACTTATACTTGGTTCTCACAGCTTCCTTCTTGTTTGCTTTTTCTTAAGAATAACCAACCCCAAGTAACCCACATGCCAAAGAGGAATGTTTGGGGGTGGCAGATCCTGCTGCTCTGCAATCCCTTGATAATAAGAGTCAGCTACCAAGTGGACAAAGAAATGAGTGATGATACTGAGACAGGCAGTAAGCCAGGACAAGTGGAATGGGGAAACTGAGGCAGAGAGCCAACCAAACTGAGGCAGTGGTTTACAGCAGACACAGACGGTCACCTCCCTAGAGATAACATCTAGGCCTCGGTCCATTTCAGCTCCAGACCCAGAAAAGCAGCAAAACCAGGTGGGTGACACCAGGACCAGCTGCAATGACTACAACCCTCTGCTCGACACCGACCAGTCAGTGGAGACCAGGACCCGAAGGAGTGCGCTTAGAAAACTGATGACTGTTCTGCAGAAACCCTCCCCGGAGGCCTCCCCTGAGATTTCCATCTGCAAAAAGGAAATAAAAGCCTCAAGACAAGGGGCCCAGCTCAGGCTCTCCCTCTGGGGAGCTGCCCCCTGTTCCCTTTCCCCTCTTCTTCTGCAAAAGGCAGAAGGAGCCCTTGAGAACTGTAACCAGGGCAGCAGTGGGCAGCGGCAGCGCCCCCGGGGCTGACCCTGTGAAGTGTCCCCAAGGCCCCCTTCTCTCTGACTCCCCAGAGAGCTAAGGCAGCCCAGCTTAGGCTCTCGTGTTGCTTCTTCTATACTAAGCCCTTTCTTGTTTTACTGTCCCCAGGCTTAATAAACATTCCCTCACAGTCACCTGGACTCTTGTGAATTGTTCCTGCATGAAGTCAAGAGCCCACACACTACCGGCTGGCCCTAGGCAGACCCACCAAGGGCCAGGTCCCCTTTCCTGTGACAATACCATTGGGGAGTCATTTCCGTAAAGACTTACTATAAAAGAATGTTATAGGTATATGTCACCAAGCTCCTTAATAAAATAAAATTTCTTTTTTTGTTAACTGATATTAGAGAGAGAGGAAGGGAGAGAGAGAGAGATAGAAACATCGATGAGAGAGAACATTGATTGGCTGCCTCCTGCATGCCCCGCACTGGGGATCAGGCCCACAACCTGGGCATGTGTCCTGACTGGGAATCGAACTGGTGACCTCTTAGTGCGTGGGTCAATGCTTAACCACTGAGCCACACAGGCCAAGCTAACATTAAATTTCTAAAGTGAAGAAAATCAAGATTGGTCCACCTTTGCTGAAAAGAGATACCAAAAAACAACAAAAAAAGACTCCTTCGAGAGGACACAAAGAGACCTGGAGAGTATTATGCTGAGCGAAATGAGCCAGTCAGAGAAAGACAAGTGCCACATGCTCTCACTTATTTATAGAATATCGTGAACAAAATAAGCTGTCAAAATAGATTCAGAGACGTGGAAGTAGGGAACAGACTGACAAACCTCAAAGGGAAGGGGGTTGGGAAGGTTGGGAAGAGATAAACCAAAGAACTTATAGGCACATATGCATAACCCATGGACACAGACAATAGTTTGGGGGAAGCAGGAGGGAGTGAGAGTGGGGAGGAGGGGTCAATGGGGGAAAAAGAGGGGACATCTGTATTACATTCAACAATAAAGATTTAAAAAATAAGAAGACTAAATGCCATTTCTTGCTTTGCCAAATACTCCGAAGTGTTTTTTCAATCAGCAGGTGGCGCTGCCAAAGCACTGCTCAAATAAAAGGCTGCCCGTCCACTTCCACTAACCCCTGTATCACAGGAGATGCGTTATAATTTGCTGATTTTTGTATCAATGCCATGCTTAGAAAAAAGTCTCCTACTCTTGGCATTAGTTCTGAAATTCTAAGAAATGTAGTTCAACTACTACTTAGAAAGACCCTTTAAAACATTATCTTTTAATGTTTTAATTGTTAAAGAGAAAACCACAGTCCCAAAATGGTATCATTTGTGCTGATAATACCTGATTTAATTGTAGTTTCAATCTGTCCCAGAAATGTAATGTGGTAGTCTGGAGTTGTGTGGTCAAGGGCCCGGAAGGTAATATGTCACCTGGGCCCTCTCCACCCCCACAGAAAGAAAGGGACAATCTGTATGATAAGAACCCTTCTCCTTTTTCTCCCCCAAAGAACAGACATCCCACCCCAGAAACAAGCCCTTCTTTTCTTTTGTTGATAGCTCCCTACAGAAACCTGCCATGTCCTACAACCCCTCTGGGAGGGCCCTTCTAGTTGCTGGATGGGATGCTGCTCAGTTCATGAATCACTTAATAAAGCCAATTAGATCTTTACATTTACTCAGTTGAATTTTTTTTAATCTTCATGCAAGGATTTGCTTTTATTGATTTTAGAAAGAGAGGAAGGGAGAGAAAGAGAGAGAGAGACATCAATGTAGAAGAGAAACATCGATAGGTTGCCTCCCCTGTGTGCCCTGAGCAGGGATCAAACTTGCACCCTTTTGGTGTATGGGATGAGGCTCCAACCAACTGGGCCACCCTGCCAGGGTGAATTTTGTTTTTTAATGTTAATATTAACTAACACGAATTGGGTATTTTCTGTGATGTAGGCACTTGACTGGGTCTTCACATAAGCTTCTTACTTAGTCCTAACAAACCAAACAGATATTATTTCCATTTTACAAAGGAGAAAACTGAGGCTTAAGTAAGTTATATTCTTTGCCCAAACCACACATTTCTGTAAAAGACAGACTCAGGGCTCAACACCAGGTTGGCTCCGTCCAATGCCCATGTCCCGAACCACATTGCCCCCATGGCACACATAGTGCCATAGTCCTACAGTATTCCCAGCACTTTGAAAAAGACAGCCTTACTACATACATATCAAGACAGGCCATCTTAAACCACCAAACATGCAGATGACCCTAGTTCACACCACGTAGTACCCTAATTTGATTTAACTCTCAAATGCTGCTGGTGTCCAGAATTCATTCAGAACTTAAAACAAGTTCGACCTGACATCTATTTTGAGAAAATTAAGAAAAGCGATATCTCACTGAGTCAAATTGCGGGGTCCCAGACCTTGAACGACATCCAGAATAAAAGGCAACGTGAGACACAGACATGATGTCAACGCCACTTAGTGTGCGAACGAAAAGCAGCTAAATGAATTAGACAAAGAGGGAGAAAGAAGTATATTTGCATACTTAAAGTTTGACCGTTTCATGATCAGCTATTTCTCTGAACTGTTCAGAGGAAGACCAGTCGCTTCTTGTGACCCTGTTCTGAATAAAACATGCGATGCGTAGCGCGAACGTGGAAGGAAAAACAGGAAAGGCACAGCAATGATGATTCTACATTGTTCTGGT